AATGCTAACTGTTCTAGCTAATGTTTTGTCTCGCCGGAGCAAAACGTGTATTTAGCTGCTGCTTGTGTGTTTTGTCTTTGCAGCCGTCGTCCCCAGAGAAGGACACTGAACGGGACATGTTTTTGTACAGAGCATACATCGCCCAGGTGAGCGTTGAATCCATTCAGCTGAGTTTCATGTCGTCAGCTGTGAGTTACTGTTTATTTATCACCATCACATATTCCGAACGGCCTCACCCTGACCTGTTGTGATCTGTGTAGAGGAAGTACGCCGTTGTCCTGGATGACATCAAGAGCAACTCATCACCTGAGCTCCAAGCTGTCAAGATGTTCGCTGAGTATCTGTCAAGTGAAGGCAAAAGGTAAGAGCCTCCATCTGACGTTTACATGAACGTAGAGCTGAACAACGTGGGTAAAACGTAACATACACCTTGGTCAGCATGCTGTACTGTATGCTGGTCAAACTCAACACTTCCATTCTCAGGTTTAGCTACTACTGTGACAATCATATTCAATGTGTCTGACTCAAGCATCAACTGATGCAGCCACAGTGCTTTCAAAGTGCTGCCATACAAACCAGTAGCTGGTCAGAATTCCCTTTAGCCCCAGTGAACCCTCAGGTTTGCCTGTATCATTGATTGCAAGGCCAAAACACTGGATGAGGCTGAGGTGCAAAACTGAAGTTATGTCCCTAACATCCGGTGCTGACCGCTAACCCCTGCTAACATCTACTGGTAGTGGGTAACTTAAATTGTGCAGAAGACCTTCTAGTCCGATATTCTAAAATGAACATTGAACTGTGGAATTGAATGTTTTACCCTTTGAACGTGGGTTAAACGTAACATGGAATATGTATGTATATATAGTGTATATAACATTATATCTGTACACCATTAAGAGAAGAGTGCCTGGCTAATTCCACAAATATTCAGTTTTTTCTCTAAGCAGTACACAAGCTCAGGCTATAGGTACAGGAACAACCAACAGTGCATTGTAGTGTCTACGCTTACCCTCAGATGCCCCAGACAACTTCAACTCTTCTGCGTATTTCACCAGTATCCAATAGGATGCAAACACCTACATGTTGCATAGAGAGTGACAGCAATCCTAGCCATTCATGGATGTGCTGTTAGAATGGGTGACGCAAGTAGGGAGAGGTATATGCGGAAGCTGTGGGAGACATCTTCAGACTTGGGGGGTGACAATTGCTGATGTTACTTTCTTAGCATTTCTTAGCAAGAAAACAATCAAAGTTTAAATGCTCAATATATCACCCAATGTAATGAAGAGATTACTGAACAGCATTTCTAGCTATTTCCATGTCTTCTACCTTTGTGTGATTGAAGTTTTCTCTTGTGTTTTAGATACTCATTGTCTAAATCCATTTACTGCAATATTTTTTGCAGGGATGCTATTGTTGCTGATCTAGACAAGAAGATGGCAAAGAGTGTGGATGCTGCCAACACGACCTTCCTTCTCATGGCTGCATCCATTTACTACCATGAGATGAACACAGACGCTGCTCTGCGGACTCTGCACCAAGGAGAAAGCCTGGAGTGGTAAGAAGTGATCAATTTTACTTAACAAGGTCACGAACATAACTTACCTCAAATAAATGTAGCTGCAAAGAAAATAAAAATTGTTCTTCTATTCATCTATCAAAAATAATAAAGCAAAAGCACTGTCAGGAAAGTTTTTCTTCCCACAGAAAATGAACCATCTTTGCAAATTTTCCTCGTAATATACATATCATTTTGTAAATCTAGATTCAGTGACTGCATCTGCTCCTCATTACTCTCTGTTTCTTAACTTTGACGACTTGCCTGATACTAAGCAAATCGACCCATTTGTTTTTTTATTTTTCAGCATGGCCATGAGCATTCAGGTGTTGCTGAGTCTGGATCGTGTTGATCTTGCAAGGTATGGAAGCAAGCACTGGAAGATTTTTATTGAATTTTTGGGTCAGTGATTTCTAGAAATCTTAATACCATCCATTTGGTAGTCACATCTCTAATGCTGTCCTTCGTAGGTGGACATATTCTTTATTGTGAAACCTCTTAAAACCTACACTATGTGTGGTTAGGTCTGAACCTATATCCACAAAAGCAAATACTTAATTTTTGATTTGGAGCAGTGTTCCTCTAATAATGACCATTTTTTCTCTCTTCTCTTCCTCATTGACAGAAAAGAGCTGAAGAAGATGCAGGAGCTGGATGAAGATGCTACTCTGACCCAGCTGGCCACAGCCTGGGTTAATATTGCTGTGGTGAGTGGATAATATCGACTGATTCGTAATTAAAAGCTCTACAATTAATCATTTGTCAACTCCTGTACATAATATAGTGGGTTGCATAACAACTCTGTCTATACAACTTAATGAAGTTCCTGCTCATCACATTATACAGTATATTGCTCACTTTTCTTGCCAAGCAGTGGCTCCACCTGACACCATTAAACAACAGAACAAAAACAGTCAACCACCAGAGGTTATTAACTTTTCAGCATGGCCACTGACCTACACACAGACTATATTTCTTCTTGCCTTCACTTTATTGCCCTTTGCTTGTTGTTTAAGGGTGGAGAGAAGCTGCAGGATGCCTACTACATTTTCCAGGAGATGTCAGACAAGTACTCATCCACACTGCTGCTGCTCAACGGGCAGGCAGCCTCTTACATGGCCCAGAATAAGTGGGAGGAGGCAGAGGGAGTGCTGCAGGAGGCCCTCGACAAGGTTAGATGAATCTTTGTTATTGTCCTCTCACATTATCAAATACACTGAACACACTTGGGTGTAAATACATGGTTTATACATGGAACGTTTTTTATCCAGACATTTTGATATGATGATATTCTTTAATTGCAACTTTCGTATGTGTCAAACTAATCTAAACATCCACTCTGTTTGATTTCACAACTTGAAATTAATGATCATTATCATCATATTTTTGGCACTATGGCCTTCATTAATAGGGAGGAACCTAAACGTGAAAAGGGGAGAGAGAGCGGGGAAGTCATTCAGCAGAAAGCTGGGTCAGAGGAACCCAATCTGTGGCCGCTGCAGAGGACTCAAGCCTCAGTATATGTACTGTTATTGGAAATATCAGCCAAGGGCAGTACATTGGGTGCCCCAGGCTTGTATTTCTAATGACATTGAGAAATGGAAATCAGAAATAACTTCCCTCAACCACATAATGTTCAATTTGGCAAAAAAAAAAAAAAAAAAATCAACTGCTTGCATTGTAACAGCAGATGGCTCCACACTCACTCTTTTGTAGTCTACAGTTATTGTTCTCTATTGATAAGTGGATGAGGGTTGACTTGTGTGTGTGTGGATATGCACTGCTCTGTGGTTGTAAATGTTGCAGCTTTCTGCAACAGGTTTATTGTTAATATGAGGCCTGAGTTAGCCAGACAGTGAGTGAGGGGACTGTGAAATGGCTTAAAACTAAATCAGCTGTTTAAGTGATCTTAAGGGAAGCTTTTTTCAGCGTCTGAAATGCTTTTATGAAATACACCATGTTTGTTATCCTGGTAACTGTGACAACTTGGTTATCCTGCTTTATGAGGTATATGAGACCCCAGGTTTTTTGGTGCTTTGTGTGATACTTCAGTATAAACTGCTCAGACAAGGAATAACCATTACAAAGTAATGATTTTATCTCTTGCCAACTAAGCATGCAGAACATGAATGATGTAGGAGCTCACATTCTACAGAGCTAAACCAGACAAGTAATTTCATGTTGATGAATGAACACTTACATGCAGAAATCTACACTTTTGGTGCAACTCTTCCACTTCTCTGTCATGGCAAGTGTTAATGTTGAATTGGATCACTGCACAAAGACTTTCTGCACCACACTCTGCTGCACATATAACAGAGGAAATTAAGCTGTTTTCAGTATTGTATAAATGTACTTCTCCATTTCATCATCTTGCTCCAAATTCTCTATTGAGCAGATTTTTCTTCTGCATCGAACCTTCGCTGCTGTGAGCATTTATACTTGTGTCTGTGTCTGCCAGTGGGGTTTCAACTCCACTGTCAGTTTTTTTGTGAAATTCCAACAATGGCAACTTAAGTTGAATCGTTTTGGAGCTGGGGCTGATAAATGTTATTACTTTTACTGAAATGACTGCAACACAGAAAGCAGAGAAGATGGTGTGTATGACCACTGATTTGACTGAAGCAGAGGGAAGCTGAATTTTCTATACTTGCGTTGAGACGAGCAGTTACATTTCTCTGAGGTGCACGTTAGACTGCGGTGTAGTGTAGTCACCTCATCGTACCTACAGCATCAGTTCTATCATCAGAAGTACAAACTGACCTTTAGTATCTCACTGACTTGTCATCTCTGTCTTTCTGTTTCCTACTTATAGGACAGCAGCCACCCTGAGACGTTGATCAACCTCATAGTGCTGACTCAGCACCTGGGCAAAGCTCCTGAGGTGAGACTTTGGACTCACACACTAACAACCTCACCGTCTTGACAGCCTTCAGATTTCCACTTTCCTATGGACAAGCTCAACCTCGTTCAATAGAGCATATGACTGCAAACTTACCTCTCAGCAGTTTTGTGTTTTCGCTTTGATTAAACCAGGCAAATGCATTCAAGCAAGCAATTTCTTGACTGTTTGTTTTCTATCATAGAAAGTGTCTTCTAGGCATATTTCCTAGTTTAATGCTGTGTGTGAGTTTTACACCCTGGAACTCAGAGTTCATGAGATAAAGACTCAATAATCATAGACTTGATAGCAATGCAATATAATTCTGTCCACTGACTAAAAGCGGTGTGGAAAATGTTACCAACAGTGATAACCGCTGATTTGCAGATCTCCCTCAAGGTTAACTGGAATTATATGGACAATTTTTCATTAACAAGCCTCATCCTCAAAAGGCAATAACCTTTGAGAGGAGTTTTAAAGAGAAATAATGTAGAGGTTCAAGAACTGTTAATTTAATCTAACAAACTAAGCAAGTTGGACACTTTCAAACACAGATGAATTAATGGAAATGTACAAAATCAGAACGAATAACCTTTGCTGTCTTTGCTAGTTGGTCGTACAGATATTAGTTGATGGAAAAAAAACAGGTTTACTTTTACTTTAAAGATGGTACACAGCTGTCAGCCAGATAACAGCTGGAGCAATGTGTGACCACATTCAGCTCAGGCATGTGGACGAGGCCCGCTGGTGCTATCATTGCTAATGTTAGCCACACAAGGCAAACCCATGTGACATCTTTTACCCGCAGATTCAGGTCAGCAATATTTGAAGTACATCATGGCCTCAGCAAGAGTTTGACACAGGTCACTTAGTTAACCAAGAAAAGTTGAATTGAGGGCAACCTTTTTGTAAATCCATTTTCGACCTCATTCAGGAGGTTTCTTCAGGTCTGACTGGTCCATTGATGTCACTGGATTCGTTAGTTCTACTGTCTGATGTAATGTCAGCTGTTAGAGTTCACCTGAGGCTCAGTGTAAACAGCTGTTGTTTTGGAATCGCATGAAAAAACAAAGTGGCTTAAATGACCCCAGAGAGATTTAATACTTGTGTATCCCCAGGAATCAGTCAGTACTGAAGACTTCTCTTAATAGGTCATGAAACATCTTCAAGTATTTAAAACCAAGTCCAGTTACCCTTGATTCATCTTTTCTCAGATAGATTTTGATCTGGAATAACTGAGAATCTTCACAAAGAATTAAGCTGTGTTTGATCATATTTAATTGACAATTAACTGTGTACAGACACAAATAAACCTTACATTTTCACTGTGTGTTTTCAGCACCTGAAAAATATTTTTATTTGGAAAGCCTTCATAACCTTTATTTTGTTCTACTGTTAAAACTTTAAAACTGTGTTTAGGTAGTGTTTTCACTGTTATACACTGCTGTCATTTTATATTTTAAAGTGATCCGTTTACTTCTGTCCTCAGGTAACCAATCGGTACCTCTCTCAGCTGAAAGATGCACACAGAGCTCATCCATTCCTCAAGGAATATTTAGCCAAGGTAACTTGCTTGCGTCAGAATGTGTAACTCATTGTTCTTTGTTTGGCTGAAATTGCCAACTGTCCAGCAGTACTATACTGATTGCTTTTGAACTTTTGTAATAGGATTGGTTATTGATACAATATCAACACATGAGGAGAAAATCAGGAAAGAGTAAACATCACTGACATTCGTTGACAAGCCTTTATAACCTTTACTCTGATGACTTTATCACCTGGCTTAGTTGTTTTGATAGTCGAGGAGCAGGTAACCTTGGAGCAAAGCCAACGAGAGCGTTAAACTCTGAATCTTTAGCCTTTACTACACATAGTCACACACAAGTCTGCAGATGTACATAAACATGCTGAAGTGGGTTATAGCATCACCAAACAAACCATGCGATGCACAGCTGTTGCTACGGTCAAATGTTTTCCCTGGTGTCCAACAATTTTTTCTGCTCTTTGTTTTTCTGCAGGAGAACGAGTACGACAGACTAGTGTTGCAGTACACCCCCACTGTTACAGCGTAAGACATCTGCTGAGATGCCTGTGTCCCTCTCACACACATACACAAAATACAATATTTTGACATTTTTACTTGTAAGAAAATTTTGCGTAAATTAATCTAAGGCTCTAAAATTTAAACCAGACTATAGATTCATCATTTTCCTGGGTTATAGATGACACCCTCTGTATGCATTCTTTCTAAATTTGCATTTCTCCTATGGAAATCGACGCATCTGTGTAAAGTAAGCATTCCTTTGAAATGGTAATAAATGTTTAATACGTGTGATGTGTTTAAAGTATGGTTTATGATCCAATAAAAAGGGGCTGTATCTGCAGACTCTTAAGAATTTAAAGGTCCAGTGTGTAAGATTTAGTTGAAAGGGATCTTTTGGCAGAAACTAAATATAAAATAATCGTAGTGATCTTTTTACTAGTGTCTAATCATCTAAATTGTAAAAAAAATGTTTTCTTTACCCTAGAATAGACCTTTTATATTTAAAAACTTTGTACATTAGGAGCAGGTCCTCTCCACAGTTTTTGTGACAACTGAAGGCTGCCACAGGTTCTCTTTCATGTTAGGAAGGGGAGGGGTGAGGGGTATTCAGCTGCAACATGCAACTTCACCACTAGATGTCACTAAATTCTACACACTGAACCTTTAAGTCAGGGCTGGATTTTTATTTAGGAACAGTTGGGAACTGCCCAGGGCATTCAGATCCACAGGGCCCCAAAAAACTTAGGATTCACTGTAAAGTCTTTGGGTTTCTTTGACATAATTTTATCACTTTATCAGAATATTCTTTCTGATGACTCCTCTGTGTCCCATCTCATGGAGGAGGTCATGAGGAGGAAATAAGCCAAAAGTTTTTATTGACCTCAATTGTTTTGAATCATTTTATCAACTTACTAACAAAGAAACTCTGTAGTAGCATCAATCCATTAAAAGAAAACTGTAATGGTGAAATCAACAAATATTTTACATTATCAACATGCTGTATCTGACAGTGTTTTTTTAAAGTCAGAATTTATGAAATAAATCAGAATTTAATGTTAGAAATAGTTAGGGCTTCTTGGACTGTGCAGTGAATATTGAAGGTGATGGAAGCCTCAACATTGAGGTATATAGAAAACCTACAAACACAGATCAATATTTACAATTTGACTCACACCACCCACTGGAGCATAAGCTGTTTTTTTTTTTTTAGAACCCTGCACCATCGGGCTAGGTCTGTGCCCACAAGGTCAGATGGTAAAGAGAAGGAACAAACATGTCAAAAAAAGCATTTAAAGTATGGTTATCCCAACTGGGCCTTTGTCAAAACCACAAAAAGGAGAAACAGAACAGAAAGGGAGGAAAAGAAGGATCAACGGAACAACGCTGTCATCCCTTATGTGCTGGAATATCTGAAAAACAGACACCACATCCCAGTACATTTCAAGCCTACCAACACTCTGAGGCAGAAACTGGTCCATCCCAAAGAGAAAACACCCAGACATAGGCAGAGAAATGTAGTATATGCAGTTGAGGAATGCACAGACCTGTGCACTGGGGAAATAAACAACCCCCTCACAAATGCATGGCACAGCACAGCAGAGCCAGCTCCTCAGGTCAGGACTCAGCAGTCCACCTACATCTAAGGGACAAGGGACGTTCATTTGAAGACAGACAGGGAAGACGGCGGGGTTGGAAGAGGAGTGAAGGAAGCCATCTATGTCAAAATAGAGAAACCAGAGGAGGTTTACGACACCACCTATCAGCCACATGCAACACAGTCCTGACTACGATGCGATATTAAATTTTGGTGCCACGGTTATTGTCAGAGAAATATTATGGTTTCACGATAATAGCTAATGTAGCTGATGAACTAAAATATGTATTATTATCATCAACAATATCCAGTTAGTTTTTATAGTGTAATGGTTGTGTCAGCCCCTCCTTCTGAGCTGGTCAGAAACCGAAAGTAAACAAGGATTTCTCCTCTCACTGTGAACTCTTTTGATTGAGTTTCACGACCAGCGTTGGTGGAATTAAGGCTGTTACATCAGTTCCCTCTTCTCAACTAACCTTTCAGTGACTCACGCACACAAAAACGTGACTCGCGAGAGGCAGGACACCATAGTTAGACAAAATAATTTTTACAATTTTTACAGTTATGAAATCGTGACTTTATGAAACCGCGGATATTGTGAAATCAGTTGATCGTGACATCCTCACCCAGCAGTCAGTGAGGCATCTTGGATGAGAGGTGAAACATCATCAAGAAAACTCCAACCAAGTCCAGGTAACCTGTATTTATCACTTGGATATGTCTTGTCTTATGTTGTTGGTTATGTCAAATTACTCCAAGGGACATACATGAGGGGTCCCTTGAATATTGTCTATTTTGTAAGGGGTCTTTGGTAAGAAAAAGGGAGAACCTCTTACATGAGGTCGGTCTCTGGATGCCTTGGGGGTAAAATGAAACTACAATGTAAAGATGGGGCCAACAGCAAATTTCTGACCTAAGGACCCCCCCCCCCCCCCCCCAGGAAGTAAATAGGGCCATGATTTAAACCAAAGAGCTTTGTGACTCTGTGTTCAGTGCGTACTGTCTCTTTAAGTCATCTAGTCTCATCTTCAGCAGGGGCTTCAGAAAGAAGAAGGTCCTAATTACGTCACGCCCCCGGTCTCTGTCTCATAAACGCGTGTTGTCCCGGTTTAACCGAACAGTCGATCCCCGGTGAGCAGCGGAGCGCGGCTAGTCTCTCAGAGCGCTGCCTCCCCGGACACAGCCAGGAGCGGATGAGGAGCAGGAGGAGGAGACGGCAGCTTCTTCTCTTCATCAGTATAATACCATTCTCCTTTATCCCCTCTCCTGTTCGCCGGGACATCTCGTCGAGAATCGGTCGCTGGGGCTCGCGAGTCGTTATATAAGGCGAGTAACGGACCGGGATGAGCGCGTACGTTCCGGCGTAGCGGCACAATATCAGCCGCATGTGTTTGGCTGGACTCGGCGCTAGAAAAGCGACAGAAACCCCCCGAGCTGCGGTTGAATTGCTCTGACGTGTGCGTGCGTATGTGTTTTTTTTAGCTGAATTCATTCAAACAGCGAACAGCTAGCTTTGCGCAGCGCAGCGGCGTGTCTCACTATTGTGTGCGTTTGATTTGAACCTAGCTAGGCGGCTAACGGGGACGCGCCGCCGCTGATGATGAACGTAGCGGAATGATGGTGATGACGAAGAAGAAGCCCTCACCGCTCAGGCGCTAATGGCTCAGAATAACGGTCTCTTCCCTGTTTAGATTCTAATTCATCATCGGATCCAGCTACAGATCCAGCGTGTGCTCGGACCCGGTGGGCCCTGCCGCCGTCATTCATAAAACGGTCCTCAACGCGAAGAATGGGCCCATCTTTTAATTTGGACAACAAAGAATTCGGCGCCCGGACAGTGTAAGCTGCTTAGAGAAGCTCGTTTTAGCGTTTTGAGGCGAGCTAGCTTGCTGCCGGGGGGATTAGAGTGGACTGCACTGCCCTCTGTCCCTCAACTGGACTATTTTTTTTTAATACCCCACGTTCCTGTTGTTGTGTGCACCACGCCACGATGAGCCCTCACACCGGGGACGCCGGCTCGGAAGTGGAGCCCATGCCGGGTTACTTGGACCTCATCGCCAGAGCCTCCTCCACCATGCTGGGCGCATGGAGGGACTGTAGCTCCTGCGGTCTGGAGCTCTCCAAACGGACTCTCCTGGATAACGCGTACATTACCTGGAGCGAAATCGCCCTGTTCTTCTTTTGCGCCTTTTTGTGGACGCAGGTCAGGTGGGGACTGACAGAAAGTCTGTTAAAGGTGAGTGACACACGATCGCAACACAAGCACACACCGATCTCCCCGCCCAGTGTCCCATTGGGTCATTTATTAGCTTCCCTAATTAAAGGATTTAGCAGCTAATCTCCCATCAGAGCCCCAGCACCGCTGAAGTGAAGCCCGAGAGGCTCCCATCTCTCTGCGGCTGTTACTGGAGGCACGTGCTCCCTGTGGATCTTAGCAGGTGACAGTGAGGATAACAGATGTGATATTAATATTTGAAACAGCTGTGGGTTAAAGAAAACAAAAGTCAGCTCGACCACGACCACAGTGTCCGAAAACATTAACCTGGTCCTCAGCCCACCAACAGCAGCTGCTGCACACTGAGTTGACCAGAGGTCCTCATTTGAGTTTAGTGACTCATTCAAGATGGTGGCAGATTTAGTGCTGTGGAGAAATCTACACATGTAACCCAGTCAGCCCTTACAAATGTATGCGGTAGCTGCCACCAAGACAGATACGATGTACTCTCCCCCTCTCTCCCCCCTCTGTGTGTGTGGGGGTTGGGGGGGAGCAAGAATGACAGGGGACTCCTAGGGTTAGAGATGTGTGCATGTTAGACAGTAAACACCCTAATCTATACACCAGAGGCAAACATTTGAACTGATAATGTGTAGTAAATAAATGATGAGACACTATTGTGGGTGTTCTGGTAGAATATTGTGTAGTTCAAGTCACTGAGCTGCAGGTTTAATTCCCACATGCACTATAGAAGCTGGGGGGTTTCTGTTGCCAACTACTCTACTAAAGTGTGTGTTTTTATTGCTCAGAGACGATGTATCATAATCACAACCAGTAAAGTCTCTTAAAGCTGTTCTTCCTCTTGGACCTTAATCTGAGATAAAGTGTTTTGGTGTCAAACGTTTTAAAATATAAATATATGCTGACTGAATACAATCTGTATTTTTCCAAGTTCTTTCCTATCTCAGCCATTTGAAAAGACTGTAAAATATCAAAGACAGATTTATCTCAGTGCTTTTAGGTGCTTTTTGGGGAATGGCAGCATAGTCATTAATTGCAAGTGGGGCACATGTCCTCCCCTCCTCTCTCTGTCTTTGTCTCTATTACTCCATACACATAAAATCCAGTGTGTGTGATTTTTATCCCAAAATCAATTTACAGCATATTGTAAAACAATACCTCTTTCAGAGGAAATCAATAGTGCAACCATTTGTAATGTAACTATGAATGTGATTTTTGGCCATGTTAGTGTAATACCTGGGAAATCTAAGTGTTTCATCACATTTATGCAAAAATAATGTAAAAGGTAAATATATTGCCATCAGTCAGTCATGCATCATTCGTGACTTTAAAACACTTTACTAGCTTTATTTTTTGGAAGTGTGAGAAACTGAGAAACTTTATTGGGAAAATACATCACGCTGCTACCATAAAAGTAAAAAAAAAAATGCCATTCTTTAACTTTCTAAGGATCTAGAGAGAGCACTTACAACCCTGCAGTGTCTCTAAAAGCAGCATCACTATATTGTTTTTAACAATATGTTTCTCTGTGGCCAGATACTCAGGCTGATGCTTTAACAGATTGGCCCTATGCCCAGGTCTCCTACATCAAACTCCTGAGTACCTCCACCCTGTTGGTGCTTCCAGGGAGGGGTCCTCTCTCCACAGATTGGCTGGATGTTGCCTCGGGCTCTTTATACTGCCATCATTGTGGGTGGGGGTGTACCATTAAGTCCACATGTGTTAGACGCTACAATAATGATGCTATACTGCTGCTGAGCACCACATATGCAAAGACAGATGTGGCCAGAGAATGCAAAGAATGAGGCCTGTGTGTGTGACTCACTGACTCCTGGAAGGGAGGTTTGGATAATATAAGTCCTGTGTAGGGACGGATGATGTGAGGTTTTTTTAATGTAGATTAATTGAGAATCAGTCACCGTGCCTTTTTGTTATTTAATTCCAACTTTTCATTGTTTACACGAGGGGGGGGAGAGGGTGGGTTCAGTGTTGGGTCAGCTGTGCTGAGCAAATGCATTACAGTTATTGCTGTTATACATCACAAAAGCTGAGCTGGGTTGTCAAAAGAGTACAGCCACACTGTTTGAGGACTTCTATGAACACAGCATACACACTGGAATGAACACAATACGGTGCTTTTTCACTTCAACAATTCAATTGAATTGTTGAAAATTAAGTAAACCTCTGCATTTAATATCCTGTCAGTAATGATTGAATATGTGGTTTTCACAGTGATAAAGTAAACAGTTGGTATGGTCTCTGATTTACAGCACAGTGGAAATCAGAGACAGTCGATGACAGCAAAGGCAATTATGAGTACACATACGTATGTGCAGAGCTCATGAGACTTAATTGATTTTCATGTTAGATGAGACACCAGTGGCCATACCATTGTGATCTTATCCTGGGATCTTTGGACTATTGTGAAGATGTGATGTGAAAAGTGAGATGAATGTTTGTGCCACTGAAGTGCTTTGAAAATGCAGCACTTAAGCCATTTATGTAGCAATAAAGCTGATGGATATTTGTCAGATGATGGTAAAAGTTTTAGGAATTAGTTTCTTGATTTAAATCAAGCCCTGTTTGCCAAAGTTACCAGGGCAATTAGGAAAAAAATTAGCTCCTGTTCAGTTACTTAAATGACTCCCAGTTACCTTTTAAAGAATGAAAGTTGACCCACTTAAAATCTCTGCTTACTTTGGTCTGCAGTTTTCTCTCTGCAGATCAAAAATGTGGAAGCAGCCTAAGTGTATATGTTGGAGTTGCTGTACTCAGACACTGTCACCACAATGATAGTGGACAAACTGTTGTAAAACCTTTCTGCTGGACTACTGGGGATCTTCATTCATTCATATATTGCCAATGAGGTTATGTTTACATGGCTGTTGTAAATTGGCAGAATTATGCAAATACTACTGAACCAATTTCCAATAAATTGTGTGTGTGTGAGGGGAGAACCACACAATTTTGGAGTGAATCCAGATTAATAGTTGGATCCTGGAATTTTCCTTCACTTTCTTTACCATGGTGAGATAGGTTGTCAGCCTTTGCAGAGGTATGCACTTTGTGAACACCCTTCGAGTTCATCTTTATTTTGGGAGTTATATTCACAAAATCCAGTCACATGGAGGTTAGAAGAACCACCTTTTGATTTGGAATGGTATGCTTATATATGTTTCAACCTGTCTGTGTTGTTACCTAAAGAAGGGAAACCAGGTTCCATATATACCATCATGTCACAGATCAATGAGTGTGCAGCAGGGTGAGGTAAGGCGAGGGTGCTGGGGGTTTTGTCACACATTTGGTTTATGCTCTAGTGCATGAATTGCAACAAAACATATTCAGGTCAAATTAAACACAACTTGTTGATAAGTCACTTGAGCTCCAGTGTTTCGTAAACACACTGGGCAATTTTCCGAGTTATCCATTGTCTCGAGCGACACTGAAATATTAAGATTTAAGCAAAGATAAACATATTCTTCTAAACTCGATGTGAAGAACAGTTTGAATAGCTCCACTCTGCTGATCTATAATAATCTTCTAACATCAGGTCACAAAGGAAACTGAAAGTAAATGTTCTCCCTCATTTATTTTTAACTTCACTTTGCACAAACATTCTTATCAAAATGCAGGTGTTTCTGTCTATTTTCTGGTACAGTATAAATAGGGGTTCCTCTGTCTGCGTAAGTATTGTGCATTGTATTTATATGCATGTGTGTGAGGTTTCAGAAATCTAATGTATATTATTGTTTGTTAACATTTGTTAGTCAAAAGCATGCACTTGCAGATTCCTACTGTTACAGATCTGGGGCTCAGCCGATGAGAGAGTGGATGAGTTTGGAGAAGAAAGCGGGAAAGTAGTGAGATTAAGGTCTTTTTTAAACAGATATTTTCCCCTCCCTTTTTAGAAAAATCTCCATCCTCATGATCTTTGCTTTACAAAATATCTCCACCCAGACAAGGACACAAAAACTAAAAAAGTACAAATGCCTAAACAAGCATGCCGGGCCATGTAGTCTCACACACTGTGCAGGTAGTAACCAAACGACTGGTATTGTTGTTGTTTCTGGTGCATGCTCATTACACAAAGCAGCAGTAGGCATGCACAAAGTAAGCTGTGACATTGTTTCCCCAAAACTCTGGTTTACATGTACACACAGATCCACAGAAACAGAAAATCACACTTTGCAGTTTGTAAAAATCTCTGTTTTAGCGACTTAAAACACTGATTGCATGTGGAGACCCAAACAGAGGAAAAAGTTTGTTTTGCAAAATAGTTACTGTGGAAAGGGTGAAAGAGTGTTTAAGAAAAACAGAGACCAAATGTGACCACTGGGGTAAGTGCAGAAGAGTGGAAAACAAAGAGATGGGGCAATCAGTGAGGGTGAATGGACAAATAAGGAAGAGGGAGCCTGAGGAAGGAAGGAACTAAGGGAAGAAGTGGGCTGAGTGGTTGTGTATCTTGGCTCAAGCCTGCTGACTCAGCATGCAGCAGAGACTCATCAACACAAATGCACACACACACATGCATATGTTGGTGAAATGACACACGCACAACTTCTGCAACTGAAGTACAACTGTCCAACTTTTCTGTCTATGAAAGGGGCAACACACACTGCTCAGTAAAGAGCAGACAATGCAGGCAGTGGTCAAACCCTCTCAGCAGCAGCAGCAGTCAATGGGAGGCATGTGGGCATCTGCTCACACACATGCCTCCCATAGCCCCTCTCACACACACACACTCACACTCACACACTCTGAGGCAGTTATTCAAGGGAGCAGCAGTGTGGTTGCCAGCTCCAGCCTTGTTGCAGAGCTTATCTCCCTGCAGAGAACTGCGCAGCACCTCTTCCCCTGCTGTTGTTCTGAATGCGAATGCATTCTGAGGTTTGACAAGGTTTGACAAGGTCCCTGACCACAGATCCTCGATCACCCTTCACTAAGCTCCTGCTCATTACTGTGCATTAGAGCCGCAGAGAGAAACCTGACACTGGACTTGT